TCCCTCCCCAGGCTCGGCAGCCGCGGAACCCTCGTGACCCGGTGCCGGACACAGCGGAGACGGTGCTGTCACTGCTTTGTCCCTTTATTGCCACCACGGGGGCCCTGTGAGGGTCCCTCGGCTTTCCTGGGGAGGGTGGGGAGGGCTGTGGGAGGTCGCGGAAGGACTCTGGGAGCGGGGCCTGGAGTTTTTGGTGGGGTCCCGAGGGTCGCATGGGGAGGGGTTTCCAGAGGGTGGGGGAGGCATCCCAGGGGCATCCCAGGGTGTCGTGGGGGCCACTGGGGGTCCCAGGGAGATCTTGGGGCCTGCAGGGCGCAGGGTGGGTCCCCAGGGGGCCCCAGGGCTCAGGGAGAATTCCCAGTTAATATTTCGGGGAAAAGGGGGAGTCCCTCAGGGGTTGGCGGGGGGAGGAACGGCCCCTCCCCCGGTGCTGCCCCGGCTGAGGGTCCGGCTGCGGCCGCGCTCCCCCTCCCCAACGGTGACGGAGCCGGTGCGGGAGCGGGACAGGCGCGTCATGGCGGAGGCGGCCACTGTGGGGACACAGCCACTGGCCTTGAGACACGCCCTGCCCCTCCAAACCACACCCCTTTTCTCTGAAAAGACACCCCCGTCATTTAAACCACACCCCTTTCCCCAAACCACGCCCATTCCCTGTAAACCACACCCCTTTCCTACAAACCACACCCCTTTCTCCAAACCACACCCCTTTCTCCAAACCACACCCCTTTCTCCAAACCACGCCCATTCCCTGTAAACCACACCCCTTTCTCCAAACCACACCCAATCCAAAACCACCTGTCCTGAAGCCACGCCCCCTCCCCAATCCGCAGGCTCATGCATATTGATGACCCCTCATGCGTGTTGATGGTCCCTCATTTATATTGATGACCCCTCATGCATATTGACGTCGCCCTCATGCATATTGATGACCCCTCATGCATAGTGATGACCCTCATGCATATTGATGACCCTCATGCATATTGATGACCCCTCATGCATATTGATGACCCTCATGCATACTGATGACCCCTCATGCATACTGATGACCCCTCATGCATATTGATGACCCCTCATGCAGATTGATGACCCCTCATGCATATTGATGACCCTCATGCATATTGGTGGCCCTCTGGTGTCCCTCAGGGTTACTCACTGTAGCCCATGCCCTGCAGGAAGTACTTGATGGCCTCGGTCAGCCGGCCGGGCTGGGGGGAGGGGCACGGTCAGCGCTGACCACTGAACGTTCCCTGGGTGACCGCTCCCACCCCCCACACCACTGACCCCAGCTGTGACCTCTGACCCCTCACCTGGGCGATCTGCGGCTGCCCACCACCATCGGCCATCTGCAAGAGAGGTCATCGAGTGACCATCGAGTGGTCACTCAGTGGTCACTCAGCGGTCACTCAGCGGTCACTGAGAGGTCAAAGGTCACCTTCAGGAAGGACGTTTGCGTCGGGTCGAGTTTGGCGTTGCACTCCACCTTGGGGAATGGGCCCAGGGGGGGTCGAGGGGTCAGGGTGGTGTCAGGTGACCACACCCTGAGTGACCACGCCCCCCCATCACCTGTCCCCCACTCACCACAGCGTCCTCGTGGGGGGAGTTGTCACCGACCACCAGCAGGACCGGGCAGCTGGGAGGGGGGGTCAAGGGGTCACTCAGGGGCCAGTGGTCACTTGGGTGTCCACGGCCAGTGAGGGGTCACTCAGGGGTCATCGATCACTCAGGGGTTACTCAAGGGTCAGTGGTCACTCAGTGGTCACTCACCGCAGGCTCCCGGCCCCGCTCCGCTCCAGGCCTAGGTCGCCACGGCTGAGGAGGATGAGGGGGTGGGGGCAACATGTTAGCCCCACCCACCATGGCCACACCCCTTTGCCCATCAGGCCACACCCCCTGGCTGTAACTCCACCCCCAAAGCCACACCCCTCAGACACAGCCACGCCCATTGAAGGAAACCCCACCCACCCCTGTCTTGGCGCCTTTTGGCCTTGCTGCTCCAGACCACGCCCCCAAGGCCACGCCCTCACCTGGTGTACATAGACCAGAGCAGGGCGGGGTTGGGTGTGGCCGCCAGGTGCTCCCGGAGCCGCCGGACAGGGGGAGTGGCAGCCGCCAGCTCGTCCTGGGGACCACCCAGTAATGTCCACCCCAGTGACGTCCCAGTGACCCCAGTGACCTCCCAGTGACCCCCAGTGACCCCCAGTGACCCCTTTGACCTCCCAGTGACCCCCAGTGACCCCCCAGTGACCAAAGTGACCTCCCAGTGACCCCTTTGACCTCCCAGTGACCTCCAGTGACCCCCCAGTGACCAAAGTGACCTCCCAGTGACCTCCCAGTGACCCCCAGTGACCCCCAGTGACCCCCCAGTGACCAAAGTGACCTCCCAGTGACCCCTTTGACCTCCCAGTGACCTCCAGTGACCCCCAGTGACCCCCCAGTGACCTCCCAGTGACCACAGTGACCCCTCAATGACCACAGTGACCCCCAGTGACCCCCATGACCTCCCAGTGACCCCCCAGTGAGCCCCCTGGGACCCGTGACCCCCCAGTGACCCCAGTGACCTCCCAGTGACCCCAGTGTCCTCCCAGTGACCTCCCAGTGACCTCCAGTGACCCCCCAGTGACCTCCCCAGGACCTCCTGGGAGCCCCCAGATCCCCCAGCGCTGCCCCGAGACAGCCGCGGCTGCCCCCAGACCCAGAAATGTCCCGCGGAGCCCCCCGGGCCCCGTCCCCACCTGGGTGAAGAGGTGGCTCAGGATCATCTCATTCGTCGACATCCTCAGCCCCGACAGCTGGGGAGGGGCGGTGTGAGACCCCCCAAATCCCCCCAAGACCCCCCGAGCTCCAGAGAGACCCAAATCCCCCCGAGACCCCCCAAATCCCCCCGAGACCCCCCGAGCTCCAGAG